TGCTGATATTGCTTGTATTAGGAGCCTACTGATAATGCTTGTCTTAAGAGCCTACTGATATTGCTTGTCTTAAGAGCCCACTGATAATGCTCTGTCTTAAGAGCCCACTGATATTGCTTGTCTTAAGAGCCTACTGATATTGCTTGTCTAAAGAGCCTACTGATAATGCTTGTCTTAAGAGCCCACTGATATTGCTTGTCTTAAGAGCCCACTGGTAATGCTTGTCTTAAGAGCCTACTGATATTGCTCTGTCTTAAGAGCCCACTGATAATACTTGTCTTAAGAGCGTGCTGATAATGCTTGCTACTCATGATGCTTTTCTTAACAGCCTACTGATAATGCTTGTCTTAAGAGCTTGCTGATATTGCTTGTATTAAGAGCCTACTGATAATGCTTGTCTTAAGAGCCTACTGATATTGCTCTGTGTTAAGAGCCCACTGATAATGCTTGCCTTAAGAGCATGCTCATAATGCTTGTCTTAAGAGCCCACTGATAATGCTTGTCTTAAGAGCGTGCTGATAATGCTTGCTACTGATGATGCTTGTCTTAAGAGCCTACTGATAATGCTTGTCTTAAGAGCTTGTTGATATTGCTTGTATTAAGAGCCTACTGATAATGCTTGTCTTAAGAGCCTACTGATATTGCTCTGTGTTAAGAGCCGACTGATAATGCTTGCCTTAAGAGCATGCTGATAATGCTTGTCTTAAGAGCCCACTGATAATACTTGTCTTAAGAGCCCACTGATATTGCTTGTCTTTAGAGCCTTCTGATAATGCTTGTCTTAAGAGCCTACTGATATTGCTTGTCTTAAGAGCCAACTGATAATGCTCTGTCTTAAGAGCCCACTGATATTGCTTGTCTTAAGAGCCTACTGATATTGCTTGTCTTAAGAGCCTACTGATAATGCTTGTCTTAAGAGCCCACTGATATTGCTTGTCTTAAGAGCCCACTGGTAATGCTTGTCTTAAGAGCCTACTGATATTGCTCTGTCTTAAGAGCCCACTGATAATACTTGTCTTAAGAGCGTGCTGATAATGCTTGCTGCTCATGATGCTTGTCTTAACAGCCTACTGATAATGCTTGTCTTGAGAGCTTGCTGATATTGCTTGTATTAAGAGCCTACTGATAATGCTTGTCTTAAGAGCCTACTGATATTGCTCTGTGTTAAGAGCCCACTGATAATGCTTGCCTTAAGAGCATGCTCATAATGCTTGTCTTAAGAGCCCACTGATAATGCTTGTCTTAAGAGCGTGCTGATAATGCTTGCTACTGATGATGCTTGTCTTAAGAGCCTACTGATAATGCTTGTCTTAAGAGCTTGCTGATATTGCTTGTATTAGGAGCCTACTGATAATGCTTGTCTTAAGAGCCTACTGATATTGCTTGTCTTAAGAGCCCACTGATAATGCTCTGTCTTAAGAGCCCACTGATATTGCTTGTCTTAAGAGCCTACTGATATTGCTTGTCTAAAGAGCCTACTGATAATGCTTGTCTTAAGAGCCCACTGATATTGCTTGTCTTAAGAGCCCACTGGTAATGCTTGTCTTAAGAGCCTACTGATATTGCTCTGTCTTAAGAGCCCACTGATAATACTTGTCTTAAGAGCGTGCTGATAATGCTTGCTACTCATGATGCTTTTCTTAACAGCCTACTGATAATGCTTGTCTTAAGAGCTTGCTGATATTGCTTGTATTAAGAGCCTACTGATAATGCTTGTCTTAAGAGCCTACTGATATTGCTCTGTGTTAAGAGCCCACTGATAATGCTTGCCTTAAGAGCATGCTCATAATGCTTGTCTTAAGAGCCCACTGATAATGCTTGTCTTAAGAGCGTGCTGATAATGCTTGCTACTGATGATGCTTGTCTTAAGAGCCTACTGATAATGCTTGTCTTAAGAGCTTGTTGATATTGCTTGTATTAAGAGCCTACTGATAATGCTTGTCTTAAGAGCCTACTGATATTGCTCTGTGTTAAGAGCCGACTGATAATGCTTGCCTTAAGAGCATGCTGATAATGCTTGTCTTAAGAGCCCACTGATAATACTTGTCTTAAGAGCCCACTGATGATGCTTGTCTTAAGAGCCTACTGATAATGCATTTCTAAAAAAGCCTACGGATAATGCTTGTTTAAGAGCCTACCGATAATGCTTGCTTAAGAGCCTACTCATAATGTTTATCTTAAGAGCCTAGTGATAATGTTTGTCTTTAGAGCCTACTGATAATGCTTGCTTTAGAGTCTTCGGATATTGCTTGACATAATAGCCGTTTAGAATGAGTAGGCAATGTATAACATAGCTGATTGTGTCACCATATTATACCGATGCGTTGGATCGTCAACCTCGCCGGGCCCAGATATTACTGAGACGAAACATATTCATACAGAAATGTTAGCTATAAAGTATGACCGTCAGACAAGAGGAACTGAAGGACACACAATGCTGTATAGGTGAAATAGACGGGCGATTGGGCTGACACAGTGACAGTCAGGCAAGAGCGACTGAAGGATGTACAGTGCTGCGAGGCAGAAGGACGGAAGACAGTGAGCTGACACACTGACAGTCGTGGGACAGAAGGATAACTTATATCACTTTTTTACTGTTCATCGACAATGACTCCTCAGTGCCCAGGACTTGCCCAGGCACATGATCCATGACGTGACTATTGTTGGTACATGTATATGAATCTCGGCCTATTGATGGGTGTTTCAATACGCATTTTCGACTTCGCATCAATGGTATCAATAGAATAAACCAGGTCAATAGCTTGCTTGAGTCACACCCCTCATTGATGGATGGTGGTACCTTCACATTCACCAGGGACATGGTAGTGTGTCTTGCCATTGAGGAGTCTGTATTGCGTTTTGGGCGATACTTCGTGGCTAGCCCCTATTTTGTGACGTTCCCGGAAATGTACTGGGGTTGGTATTTGTGGGTTCACGGGATAATGTACACTGACACGTTGTACACGATTTAACCTGGAAGGAATATTAGCAAAGCGAGATAAAAGTTTCGGATTTCTATGATATATACTATATATGTTTGTATGGCATTGAATACAACGTTCAAATATTCCTTTGTGTGACGGGCGTTGTACGATTGGAGGGATACACCCTCCATTTTATTTGACGAGTTAGTATCACTCCAGCTAAGTACCATTCTTGCGTCAGTGGGTGAACAATCCCGCCTCTCACTCTTGCCTAAATTGTAAAATGTAAGGGTCATCCCATTCGTGTGGATTTGATCGAAAAACGTAAATTGTCAACGAAAATGCTTGAATTGTGGGCATATAGATGACATGGTTTGTAAAATCCTATTAATCACTAACTTAGAAACACCCTATGTCACTCACTCATCCTATCAATGTATCATCCTGTATGTATGTGTGTGTGTGTGTGTGTGTGTGTGTGTGTGTCTGTGTGTGTGTGTCTGTGTGTGTGTGTGTGTGTGTGTGTGTGTGTGTGTGTGTTTCTGTCTATGTGTGTGTATTATCGGCTTTAGATGGGGAAGTACATTATAACCACATCTGCATGTTAATTAACTGTTGGATATTTACATGAAAACAGGAAATATGATAATTGGTTGTAATGGAGAAAGACATGTTATATTGCTAATAACTACACGCTTATGCAGAAATAATTTGTAAAACTTTACATCTCGCTTGCCTGACACCAGCATATGTCCGGACTAGTACAAGCAGTCATATATATGCGAATTTGTCTTGAATTCGACGTTAAACCTCATATTTCCTCACCACTTCATGTAATATTTTCCGCTCACTAAATCTAACATATAGCTCACCATTCTTGTTCCATATATATTTCACTAACTTACTCTCATACATACTCTACCATCTTACTCTCACATTTATACCACTAACTTATCTCAGATATGCCACTAACTGAGTCTCATATACAGTCAAATACCATTGTGTCGAAGTTTAAGGTACCAACGTAAACATTTCGAGTTATCCGCGGTTAGAAACAACTAAAACATGATGAATAGAGAAGGAAATTGCAGGGACCAAGCTTTTATTTCGAGACAGCCGTAAGCTCATCACATCAAAGCTCGACACAACGGTGTTTGACTGTGTATAACCTTGTTTCACATTTAATCAACTAGCTTAGTCTCATGTATACCACTGATCTATTCTCATATATATATATACGAATACGAATCTCAAATAGATAGATAGATGTACGTTACACTACGTTTAAAACGAGTGGGTGAGTGAGTTGGGTTTAACGCCACTTTTAACATTATTCAAGTTATATCACGGCGTGTCAGCTTAATGTGGGAGGAAAGCCCGAAGTTATGCAGGTCTCAGACGTTAACCACTTCGGTGAAACCCACGAGCACGGGTATGGTGTTTACAAACCTAGAAACATAATCGGGTCGAACTGGGATTCGAACCCACAATCATAGGTTCTGGCGTGCCCAAGGTACGCAACTCTGCACAGCGAATCGCGGCGCCTTTGACGACTGGGCCACCCGTGCCCCCACGGTTAAAACGAACTGAAAGGGACCACTTCTTTTAGTTCATTATAACCGTAGTTCAATGTTAGATTTAGCGCCACTTGCTTTTGAGAGGGTGGGTGGGTTAGGGGGTGGGTATGGGGGTTGTAAAAACCGGTTGCTTCAAGTTATACGACTAACCTATTCTCAGATAGATATGATATATATATATATATATATATATATATATATATATATATAGATAGATAGATAGATAGATAGATAGATAGATAGAGTCCAAAAGTCCAAAAATAAGCTGTTCAATTTACTGTATGTATTTATATATATGATATACTTTCCACCTACCAAGTCTCACATATTCTGGTGTGTGTAACCTCTTTTGTGTCAAATGTATCGTGAAATGCCTGACTAGAGCTAATAGCCTTTACTGATAAATTCATAATCTTCCGCTTTACAAATCTAAGAATAGCTTCGCAAAGGCATCAAGAAAGGAGGAGACACTCGTCCACTCTCTACAAAACAATCTTACCTTCATTTTGCCTGACCATGCGCCGTCCAGTCTATACACAACACATACAGTCACCGTTCCTCTGTCAGGTCCTCGCCATTCCCCTGCTTCTCGCCATCCAATGTTCACTGTAGGATAGATGTACAGCAGCGATCGCTTGTCGACGTATTGTCAGTTCTCACTGAGTAGCACTGTCTGGTTACACTGACTATTATCTTTCTTCTTTACATCGTGGCAATTATGTGTGACGTTCGTTATGGACGAATGTTTCCGTTAGAAAATGAGAGATAAAAAATAAATATAGTGTTGTAATAACATGAAAGAGATTCAATTATCCCCAAATTTCTTTTCGTACCAAACGGTATTTGTGTAAACGGCTTCACGCACCACTTCATCACAATGCATACACCAACAAAGATTAAGGGGTTAAATTTATATCAGCAAATTATACAAAGAATTTTGGGTGTAACTTCGTGTTATTGTGACTTAGCTGGGCATGTCAATTGCTAAATATTTGATTTTAAAGTGTACTTGAATTCAATCACTGAGTGTCTGGTCCAGGCTCGATTATTTACAAACCGCCGTCATATATCTGGAATATTGCTGAGTGCGATGTTAAACAACAAACAGACAAACTAACATTGTCAAACTTTTTCATGAAACCTATTCAAGCGTAGCGACATACCGCGCCCTTCAGATACATCATATTAAGATCCTGCACCTGAAGACCCCGTTCTGATGGCCGTAGTTATAATGTACTTGGAAAAAATATAGAGGGCCGTTAGCTCTCCATGGTCGACTCATAATTTTCCACTGCGAGGTTTTCAGAGTTTTCAGAGTGTGACTGTTCAGTTGAGTTTACAACACGTCAGCGTTAGAAACCAAAGACTTGAATCAACCGGTTTAGTATTGTGTGGAATGTATCGTGAAATGCCTAACTACGTTTAAAACGAACTAAAAGGGACCACTTATTTTGGTTCGTTATTACCGTATTTCATTCGTATACCATTCACATTGGTGAAACCGGTTGAGTAAATTATGCAGCTCATCTTTGGACTATTGGACTTTTGTATTTTACATCACATTCACGATACATTCCACACAATAGAGGTCCTATACACCAGATACACCAGTATATGTGATCTACCTATCTGTCTGTCTTTCTGTCTATCTATCTATTTGAGAATAGGTTAGTCGTATATATATATGAGAATAGAACAGTGGTATACATGAGACTAAGTTAGTTATATGTGAAACAAGGTTATACACAGTCAAACACCATTGTGTCGAGCTTTGATGTGATGAGCTTACGGCTGTCTCGAAATAAAAGCTTGATCCCTGCAATTTCCTTCTCTATTCACCATGTTTTGGTTGTTTGTCTATCTATCTATCTATCTATCTATCTATCTATCTATCTATCTATCTATCTATCTATCTATGTAACATGAGTTGAACATTAACATTTAAACTTCAACATCAACTTATTTTATGGGCGTTTGGTGTGTTTTGTATGCTAAAGATGGACCATCCATAACAGACGAACAAGATGAATAATGTAATACAGCGTGCATCGAATACATTCACCATTATCCGTACCCTGTAATATAAACGAGCTCGACTCAATAAATGCGAAGCACACGTGTTATCATGAATATAACTCTGCAGCATTATTGCCAATGAACACGTCATACATCTACACAAGGCCAGAAAGAAGAAAGACGGGAAAATTCGACTGACGCTGTCAGAATCTCAGCTCGAGGTAGCTTGCTTCAGAAAATATTTTTAAACGTTTTGTGGTAGACATTGTGGAGGGCATTTCCAAGTTTAATGCATCAGTGACAAATATTGTGATGTCAAATACAATTCCCTAGTTTGACTTGTACTATATTTCCAATATTTTCAAGTGACCAAATGCCGCCTACAAGGTCAAGTGGTAGAGCGGAAGGTCGGGGGTTCGATCCCCGGCCGCGTCATACCAAAAGACGTGGAAAGATGGTACTTGTTGTTACCCTGACTGGAACTCAACATTACTAAAGCAAGGACTGGTCGGCTCGGAGTTAGTATCCTGTGATCTGAGTGTCTGAGTATTCATATTAAACTGGGGCATGGTATATAGGTGACCTGGACTAGTACAAGCAGCAACGCACACACACATACTGTACGCACTTTTATATACGTTGCTATATGACTGAAATAATCTTGAACGCGGCGTTAAATTCACCTCACCTCAGGTGACCAATTGACTTGCCTTTGCAAGTCGGAATCTGGTTGTAGTAGATGTTTCTTATGATTATGGAAATGTTTTTGTCGCTTTTATTCATGAGGAAAGCACATCATCACAACATCAATGACATCACAATATATATGTTTACCTGTTGGCTTCAAGGCGCGACTGTCAATATATGTGACTCTCTCTCTTCACCCACTCTTCCCTAAAGCGTATTAAAAACTTGAATGATAAACATTATCTTATTACGTTCATTTGTGTTTACTGCTGTATTTCTCCTGATCACACTAAGAAAATATGCAAATTCGAATACAGTAAACTAGGGTTATAACGAACTAAAAGGGGCCGCTCATTTTAGCTCGTTATAAGCGTAGTTCGTTATACACCATATATACAGCAAATCGACGGGACCCCCAAACACTTAATTATATCCGTCACTTCGGTATAAGCGTGTTCGTTATAAACGTAGTTTACTGTACTCATTTTGAAACCTACTGAGAGTCAAACGCTCGTCTACTAATCCCTGTCTACCACATGTGAGGAAATATATTTCTCTAACTTTTATTTTCATGCCCATAGGCTCATATGCCAAAACGTTTGCGTACTAGTAACAAGCAGAGATTGCTGCAGAGCATCAATTGTTCCCACCATATAATGTAAGGTGCAGAGGAAGGAAGTGTAAGCTATGGGAGGAGGGAATTGGTGTATAAGTTCAAATTGGTTGTTAATAATGTAGTTTTCTTTGGAAAGCACAATAAAAGCAACGGTTTCTTTAAATGGTCAACACAAGAAACATCCTGGGACGAAAACTGGGCCTGTCGGGCAGAATTTGATATATACCCACTATATGTACCAATAATAACAAAAATAATTGATTAGAAGTCATATATAGATAACACAACAAATATCATTCTTAAACATGCTTTGGCACCATGTATCAATATTTCTTTGCAAAATGTTGGTTGGGTTTAGTAAAATAAACTTTTTAAATAGTGAACACAAAAAAATGTAATGAATCCACTGTGAATAAACTTCATTTCAAATGTAAAAATGCACGCATTCATTAAGGGATTCCAATTTATCTAACAGCAAGTTAATAACATACAGGTTGGTCAAGTCATTTATACATATTGAGAATTATCTTACATATTGTAAAAACAAAGGTCATGGGTCACATTTCTCAAAACTTCGTTTAAGTAATCACGAACTAAAAATTGAAACTGGTAGATATAGAAAAACACCAGCCCAATTGGAACAGCGTCTCTGGGAAACGTGTGATGTCTCAGAAGATGAGCAACATTACCCACTGTTTTGTATAAAATACGACAAAGAAAGAGAATCACAAATAATCCCTAATCACGATAAAGAATTTGGTACACTCTGTTAAAAGGAACAGTTCTTAATAATTTTACCAACATTTATCCAGAAACAAGTTCCAAGATCAGTTACCATATCAACAATTACAAACAAATTCCTTGTATGTACAACACTACCATAGTTTTGCGCAATATTGTTTCCATATAATTATAATACACTTGCTTTGAAATAAAATCGTTATAATGTACCTCTTTTGTATGTTGAATGTACCTGTGTGTTTTAATTGTCACTTATTCCGCATATATTCTGTAGTTTGTGATATATTGATACTGTTTTTTTCATGGAATGTTACGCAATACATATCTCATCTACAACATCTTTGTTGTTTTCCTCCCACATCAAGCTGATACGGAGTACTAATCAAAACGGCGTTAAACCAAACTCACTCACTCACTCTTGTGTACGGTTCCGTTTGGTTAACTGGATTTGTGTTGGGATTACTTCCGGTTTAGATTTGAAGTATGTTTAGAAGAATGTTAATATATCATGCAACCGTATTATTGTTTAGGAAAATAATTGCAAACTACAGATCAACCTGTTGATTTCCTATACATCCAGGAACAAAGAACATATACGGGTGTTTAATCTCTGCAGGAAGTTAAAAAATACTGCCAAAGCAAAAAACCATGCTGAACCGTAAACCGCCGCTTTAAACGGTATGAATAATACATTACATACAGTGAACCACTTGAAGCAATTCTGTGCTCAACCATGCACAGCAAGCGCCATACATGTGATTATGAATACAACTAATTGCAAATTTCTCATATCAAACCCGTTGATTTACATGTGTTGTTTATTGACCAAAGTCGCACTTTATAGAAGCCTGGTATTTAATCGTTTTGAACATCCTCCCTGGAACCTTTCTCGATGGCTGCTTGAATAACATAGGTATACGATATATTGCGGAGGTAGTGCGCAATGGAGCTGTTCGGGTAAGGGAGATAATCACTCACTCTCAGTGATACAGCTTGAATAAGATACGATGTACAGCATTGCAAGGTCAGTGCGTGATAAAGCTCCATACTACGCCTATAGCTAAAGGAGATGATCGCTCAATACGCAATAGCTTATTCTTACAAAATATAGACCGGTAACTTTAGCGTTATAAGAGATATATATTTCCCCTAAACATTTTTAGCTATTTTAAAAACAAAATGAACACATTACATGGGTTATCTGCATTACGAAATGCAGTCTCAAGTCTCAAAATAGCAAGACGATTTTGAAGTATCTCGCTGGAAAAGAATAGCATCAACATTTCATGCACATGACTTGTATGTTTCGTTTCGGTAACTGCTTGGCTTGAAATTTCAAATAAACTAACATGTCGACATACATGCTATAAAATTAACTTTTCCCGTATAAGGGTGAGTGAAAACAGTTTTTCGCCGCTTTACATTATTTACACTTTTCACAGCGTGGGACACTAGAAAGGGGCTTGAAATATTGAAAGTATCTGGGGTATAAAACCCGAGATTTCGGCGTAACGGGCACAACTTTTACAACAAGGTGTTCTTGTACACTCGTCACAAACGCATGCAAAGGCAAGTCAATTGTTCCCCTAAAACCTCGAAAACATTGGGTATAAAGTC